TTTGGGGTGTATCAAACATGACTTTGAAGGCTGTCATCAACAGGAGTTGATGTTCTTGAGAACGTCTCTAAAAGCAGACTGTAAGCAGACTCAAAGCATACAACATCCGCGTAGAAGCTTACGTATACAGGACGACTATGAAAGAAACATCCATATGTAGACATTTCAGGATAGGATTATCCGTCGCAGAGATAAAAATAGCAAAATTAAAACATTCAAAAACTACTATTCAAGACAAATAATATAGCAAATAAAGGTATGTAAAATGGTGCCCCCAAGTATTCACCCTTGAGTCTAACCGTCATTATAACTTAAAACCTGCTTGTTCTAAGGAAATAAATTTTCACCATAGGCACATATAGAATCACGAGTTTTATTCGGCAAAGTCTGGACACAAAAGAAGGTGTTTTATCCCATGTTGTGCTGTATACCTAAATAAACTTTCTCACAAATTAACACTGCTTTCATTTCTTTTTCTTTTTTCAACAGCACGAGACTGTTTTTTTTTAAATTAAGTTCGTGTCAGAGTGCAGGATATTGAAGACCAATGAACACTGTCCAGAACAGATGACGTATATAGCAGCTTCATTAAAGGATATGTTGAGATGAGAATGTTTGTTTGTTTGTTTTTTGAATTTCGCGCAAAGCTACACGAGGGCTATCTGCGCTAGCCGTTCCTAATTTAGCAGTGTAAGACTAGAGGGAATGCAGCTAGTCGTCACCACCCACCGCCAACTCTTGGGCTACTCTTTTACCATCGAATAGTGGGATTGACTGTCACATTATAACGCCCCAACGGCTGAAAGGGCGAGCATGTTTGGTGGGACGGGGATTCGAACCCGCGACCCTCAGATTATGAGTCGAGCGCCCTAACCACCTGGCCATGCCGGGCCTAAGAGATGAGAATGAAGGAAAGTATAGTGAGGATCTTTTGACAGAGGTTTTGAAACACCCAGTACCATTTTTAGATTTTCTTGGATAAAATTTGGGACCCTTAATCTAGAAGAAAAAAAAACGCTTTGTTTTTACTATATAATCATATTAAATACGGCGTTTCCTTAATTATCGCGCTATATGTAAGAATATTGTAGTAGGTGGCATCTGTTCTTAACGGCAGAATAATGTCTTATGTTTAACATGTAAACCTGGCATCGAATCTCTTTGCCAAACATGCTTTCTTTTTCAGCTATGGTTTGGTTTGAATTTCGCGCAAAGCTACACGGGGCTAGCCGTACCTAATTTAGCAGTGAAAGCCTAGAGGGAAGGCAACTAGTCATCACCACCCACCGCCAACTCTTGGGCTACTCATTTACCAACAAATAGTGGGATTGACCGCACATTATAACGCCCCTACGACTGAAAGGGCGAGCATGTTTGGTGGAACGGGAATTCCAACCCGTGACCCTCAGTCTTTCCTCTAGTCTTTCACTGCTAAATTAGGGACGGCTAGCGCAGATAGCCCTCGTTTAGCTTGGTGCGAAATTCGAAACAAACCAAACCAAACTATTTCTCTTAATCTCGCCCAAGGTTATATATATGTCGATCCTTTATGAGAGAGAAAAACAAATAAACACAAAACGTGATAGGGATGATAATACCATCCGTGACTGCGTTGTGTTGAGCCACCTCAAACGCCGAAAAATGCGAGAAAAGCACTCGGTATCGTTAACCCTTAAAATACCGACCGGTAGGGTCTATATATATTGCAACATATTGAGTAATTTGTTAATTATTTTTGCTTGTATGAATATTCAGTGTAAAAGACTGAGAAAAAATGAGTGTAATCACCCATTTTTTAGGTAAAATACGTAGTGGACCTATCGGTAATTATTAAGACTAATTGCAATATGGACAGAATTATTTCTGTTATTTTATATGACGGTACTTTATGTGCAATTAGGGACCTTGTAACCAGCATAGTCATGGACCCATAAGCAATTTCGTACATAATCAGTTAGTTGGCTGTTGTTAAACACAAAGCTGCACAATAGACTATCTGTGTTGTGCCTACCACGGGTATCGAAACCCGATTTTAAGCGTTTTAAGCTTTTAGACTTACCGCTGAGTCATGGTGGGGGCACGTAATTAATTAAGAAAAATGTGTATGAAAAGCTGCTGAGGGCAATATAGACCCACCTGGTAATTCTAGGTTTAAAGTTTCTTATATTACTTTCACATTTATATACTTATACAACACAATGTTGAACATCTGTGGTAAACAATAATACGAAGAAATGTAACCACTAACCCATAAATTATGATTACATTCTCAGACCATAAGTTATTCTACAGTATTTGAATTTCTCTCATTTTTATTTCGTTAATTTTCTTAATTATTATTAATTATTTTCCTTAAACGTTTCACGTTTCTATTCAAGAACCTTTCACAATATTCTAGTTTCATCATATTTACTTTTCAAAACTAATTGCTTCATTAATTCGATAAATGATTATTTGTTCAGTTCAATTTTCTTTCTTTCTGCCTCTCCCCCTTTACTGTTTCAATTGTTTTTCTTTCATTCTTGTCTTTACTTGTATTAAAATGCTAAATACTCGTTATTCACAACGGCTTTCATTAAAAATAAAGTCACTTTTTTATATTTCCTAGAATGTAACCTTCGACATCAGCCCTACCTATCACTTCTAACGAAAAAGACAATTCCCGCAGAACATATCGATGCTACCATTTTGGAGCTACTGAAAATTACTTAAGTGCAGAAGGCACATTTTAGGCCACAAACTAAAACGTGCAAAGAAACAAACGAAAGTCAGCGACTTAAAAGGGTTATGATAATTCGTTCTCTAAGCATGCACCTGTTGTCATTGGCTCCTTCCTTGAAAAGTGATTAACAGAACATACTAAGTAAAAATCTGTATTTGGATCTTCTCTTTTTGCCAGTTAGATTAGTACTGTAGGATCTGTTGGTCATCAAACATCCGAAGTTAAAGATAATAAGCCAGTTGAAACCACGAGCCATATTTATAGACGAGGTTTCGCGCAAGAGACTCAAAATAGTCCCAGTTTATGCTAGCAACAGAAGAAACACATGAATTTCAGAGAAGTGAAAGAAAGATGATATATACATATATCGACATATTCTTAATTACATTATAGAAATTTAAAACTTTTATATGAAAGCTTTTATCCAATGAAAGCTTGCTGTTGGAGAGATTTTATTTGTTTGTTTTCGGATATTCGCGTAATGCTACTTAAGGGCTGTATGTGCTAGCCGTCTATAATTTTAAACTGATAGGCTGGCTATACTGATCACAGATAGTTAATAGCATACACATCCAACTCGTATGTGACCGAATAGTAGAATTTGACAGTCGCTCTTGTAACGCACCCATGGCTTCAAAGTGCAGAGCGCAGCCCCCCAGTGGCACAGCGGTATATCTGCGGACTTACAACGCTAGACACCGGGTTTCGATACCCGTGGTAGGCAGAGCATATATAGCCCGTTGTGCAGCTTTATGCTTAACTACAAACAAGCAGAGCGCGATTTTTTATTCTATTTTATTTCCGTTAACGATGGACACGTAGGCCCACAGTCTGGCACTCTAGCCACTAGGCCATTTATTGGAGCTTAACACTAAAATGGACCCGAAAGACTGAACAAGTTATAGACGAAACGATGCTACAGATTCAGCAGGACCAAACACACGGAGGAGGGGCTGGATAATTTTAGTCACTTGGCCTACACCGCCGATTTACATATATAAAACGCAACAGACCATATGGACTCTTTGTTTTCTTTCTTAACTGTTCTTAAATTCCTTGTTTTTATAGGAGGAAAAAGGTGCGTCGTCATCAAGGTTAAAGATATCTTCAGTTTTTCGGGAAACGAAGGTTAAATCCTTCGAAAAAAATCCTTGACATGTATAAGGCAGTGTGTAACAACCTTGTTATCTTGTCCCCAAGTCAAACTTAAAGCTATAATCAGAAGGTAAGGTGAATATTTCAAAATTAGCTTACTGCGTCACTCTTCCCGTTGGGTAGTTCCAGGTGCAAGACACTGAGTGTCGCACAGAGATTTATCCTGGATTGTAAGCCATGAGAATATCTTTTTTTCTGAAACTTTCCTTTAGTATATTGTCCACAAGCTATACCACGATGATATTACTAATACATTTACTACGTTTTTAGTCCACTGAAAACGTGGTGGCAGTACGCTTATCTTCTGGTTAAGAATTGGTTTTTTAGCTTAACGACACGAAATTTTAACATTGTGAGGAATGAAGAATGACGCAGAATAAACTGGAGATATACATTTACTGGTAGATTTACTGTCACCCATCTTTCTGAATTCAATTGTTACACATGTTCTTACTTCAACAGTTTCTGGTATTTAAAGTCACCATCTTTCTCAATTCAGTTGTTACACATGTTCTTGCTCATACAATTAGTTATTCAACAATATTCTGATATTCACTGTCACCCATATTCCTGAATTCAGTTGTTACACATGTTCTTGCTCATACAATTAGTTATTCAACAGTATTCTGATATTCACTGTCATCCATCTTCCTGAATTCAGTTGTTACACATGTTCTTAATTCGATAGTTTCTGATATTCACTGTCACCCATATTTCTGAATTCTGTTGTTACGAGTGTTCTTACTCATACAGTTAGGTATTCAACAGTATTCTGATATTTATTGCCACTGCTCCTGCTCATTCAATTTTTACGATAAACCACGCAGTTTTTACCTTGCTTGAATAAACGAAGCACTTTTTGATTAGCATCAGTTTGCAGCTCGTGAAATTAAGTTTATTTACAACATTCAAAGAGGTGATGAAAATACGTTTCTGCGTATGAGGGGGCTGCGATATATCCAGGTAACATTTAGATTTATTTACACAAGTCCTCAACTCAGGAGTATTAACGTCATAGAATCACGTGTTGGCAAGTTGCCAGGATAAAATGGCCCATAAAATGCACATCCTCGGAATCGTCAACGTGTGGTGCAGGGATCTTTGTAAGAGCAGAGTGAGGAGTCGAAGACCTCTTCTATACTAGCTCGACAGCTAACAAAACAGTTCAACTACTCTGTAGCCTCTAGGGAATGCCACGAGCCCGGTCATGTCTGGAAACAAATCGGATGACAGTTTTTTTGGATATCCGAAACAACCGGTGTTGTCTAAACTCTATCCTAGAAGTACACCCGACCTTCATCAACTAGTCCCATCTGTGCCAGTTACTTCCAGACAGTATTCCGTTCCTTCTACATCAGGATCACGAACAATAAACTGTGCTAACGATCTAAACGTTCCACAAAGAATATGTAATCAGTCAGCTGAAGTTCAGAAGGCCAAACATAACACAAAACAGAATACCAAAAAAATTAATAGAACACGTACCTTAGAAATTCCAGCAGAAAAGCACTGTATTGAAACTGAGCGTCATTTTCATCGTCAACGTGTAGCCAGTGTACCTGATAGCAGTATGATCAGCAAGGAGCTTTACCCATTCTTCTTTACCGACGACATGGCTTTTCAGCGGCTTCGAAACTTCTCAGTCAAGTCCAAACGAGTGATCAATCGAGGGGACTCTTTCCGTTTCAAAGAGGACCTAGCCCCCAAAACTTTAGATATCCCACACCTCCTTGGTAAATCAGTATTGCAAGTTTGTGAGAATAACAGCAGCTACCAGGTCGTTGTTATCGGCTCCCCTGAGGTCGGCAAATCGTCCTTGATATACCAGTTCACCACCTCTGAATATATTTGTAGTTATGACGAAACTCAAGGTATGTATGAAAGTTTTAGTCAAAAAGAACTAATTAGTATCAATGTTACCATTGTTAAAAGGTTACAAATTACCCCTGCAGAGAGCTGGTTACCATCGCTTAGCACTGAATAAAATTATGTTTTATGTAAAATTTCTAATGACAGTCAACTAGATCCGATAACCGAAGAGAAATGCTTGTTTTTCATTGTTTTCTTTTGTTGTTTTTTCTAGATGAAGGAGATGAAAAATTGGTAACAGTCATTTTAAACGATGAAGAATCTGAACTTTTGTTTATTGAACAAACAATGACGGAAAGAAAGGTATTTCATTTGGAAGCATAAATAACAAAAAAGAAAATACACTTTATATACAGTTTGTGAATTTAAAAAACTCTATTATCATCAGTATGATATTTCTTCATGTATACAAGTACTCAATCGAAGCAATTCTAAATTAGAGCAAATTAGAGTATTTTAAAAATGTTAAGTACTTGCTCAATGAACCATAGAAATTAATTAGACATATTTTATTTCTATGTAGGAGATTCAAAAGGTAGATCCCACGTTCGTGTCTGGTTGTGATGAAATATTAATCGGCCTACTTATTACAATACAGAGCACTTTATTATTCGCCTTTCTGACTGCTTTCAATCTGGATTCAAACAATATCTGATAATCTTGATCTTTTGTTAGCATTCATTAAGTCTAATGCCACCACACACATATATGGATGTCCAATGTATAATATGGACGTTAGTCCAAGTTCCAAACATAATTATTATATTATAGTATAAATGGGGAAACTGATATTGAGGGTAACAACTTTGATGAAGAAAAAAACAAATGTTCTTAACCATCAAATTACCGAGTTCATATTGAGTAATTTTATGTTTATGTCTTCTGGTGTAAAGAATTGACGAAAAAAAGAAAAAGAAAGAAATACAATATAAAATACATTGGGAATCCCAAACAATATTATTCTTTATATCTCGTATGTTATTAGGGACAAAGTCCTGGACCCACAATTAATTTGTTGTATAATGTAAACAAATGTGTTTAAATAAATATTGTGATGGATCGCATCGGTAATTCATGGTTATGTTAACATAATGTCCATGAGCTTATCTTGGAATATTTAGTGTTGTACTTTTTGAATAAAATAACGTCCTACAGGGATAAATATGGCGCATCATTAGGAACTGTTAAACACATGGCGTTTTGTGTGAGCTAATACTCTTTCCACGTATAAATACTTAAAATGTGAGGGTGCAGAAAGCGCTTTTGTAATTCTTCTAAATTTTTCAGATGATCAAGTTGTTTTTAATTTTTTAAGGCTAATGATGAAGAAAAAAGGTTAATTATAACAAAATATATGGTTACTATTTTTTAAGCGCATTCATCATTTATGCCTATATCATTATACTCGCGTAATTTTTTTTTTAATATTTATCTAGAAAATAAATCTGTGCAGAAATTATAGGTGGTTAGGGCTGGGCGTGGCCAAGTAACAAATGTGCCTGGAATTTGAATCCGAGAATTCTTGGTTTGTGACTTTGTTGCGACAAAATGCACCCTGCACTTTGATTGCGTTATAAGAGTAACTGACAGGTCCCACTACTCGATCAGTTTGTTTGTAATTAAGCACAAAGCTACACAATGGGCTA